TATGCTCCGTCTAACTGGAATATCGAAAGCGCGAAAAAAAAAAATTTCCCAAAAGTGGTAGAAACCCGGCGGATTCACCCATATAGATATTTTAATACGGATAAAAATGTTTTTATGCTGTAAACGTCAACGTCATGTTCATCCTGATGAAAAACTTCAACATCGAGACCAAGTGAGTTTATTAACTTCGCATGTAGAGCAGAGTACCAGTGCTCTCAATAAAGTGGGATAAACCCAAGAAGAAAAAAGTAGATATTGAATGGCACGTCAAGTCTATAGAAGTGAACCATTCTTCCGATCTTTGTATGACAATTAGGTTTCTGATGGAAGATACTGAGAGAAATATGTAAATTGAAGAGCAGAAAAATTTTGAGATACAAAGTGAAGAATCAACGTAAAAAACGTGCATTTGTCAGTTTCATCATATTATACAAGTTTTATAACAAAATGCTCAACAGTGTTAGACACCAAAATATGCTTAGCTTTCAAAAAAAAAATTTCTTTTCTTTTATTCAATAATAAAAACCAAAAAAATTGAATAGAAATAGACACGATATCATACATTTTCGTTGTGTTCTATTCAAAGTAAAAATCTAATCATTGGTAACGGCTGTTATTTTATTTTAACCTTATCTATAATATAATAAATTATATTTTCAGAGCCAATCGATACGACTTTTTTACGATCCGAATTCTGTATCAAACTTTAATACATATCGTGTTATTCATACTCATTTTGATTTGACTGTTGATTTTTCTTCAAATATTCTTGATGGTTATGTTCAATTAGATATTAAACCATTGAGTAATACCGAATATGAATATTCATCAACAATTACAAGTAAAAATATAGAAATTCCAAATAATGATAAAAAACAATTTGTGCTTGATTGTCGCCATTTAAATATTAAAAAAGTTTTTTTGAAATCAAATGATACAGAAAAACTACTTTCATTTCAAATTGATGACAAACATGAATCATTAATTATTGATATGACTGATATATTGAAGACTTCCGTTGTCTCTATTATTATTCATTATTCAACATCAAATACAAAATGTACAGCATTACAATGGCTTACAAAAGAACAAACAGCTGATAGACAATATCCATATATGTTTAGTCAATGTCAAGCTATACATGCACGTTCATTATATCCATGTCAAGATACACCTGGTGTTAAAAGTACATTTACAGCAAAAATCACATGTCCTAAACCGTTGACTGCAGTATGTAAAAAACAGCATGAATATTTTGATAAGTATTTTTTTTAGTTAATGAGCGGTTTACAAACAAAACATGATAAAAATATAAATACATTTTATTTTGAACAAAAGCAAGCTATACCATCTTATTTAATTGCTATAGCTGTCGGACAATTAGTTTCATATGATTTAAGTCCTCGTATTCGTGTTTGGACTGAACCAAGTATGATAAAACAATGTCAATATGAATTTAGCGAAGCAGAACAATTTTTAACTGCTGCTGAAAAACTTCTTGGCAAATATCAATGGGAAAGATACGATTTTCTTGTTTTACCACCATCTTTTCCATGTAAGTTACTCTACAATGAAAAATCTGATTTTTCAGAAACACGTACTATTTGACTACACGGCCTGTCCACAGGTAACGCACTCACCCATTTTTGACCTTCCGGTTGTCATAACTCACTAAACTCTGCTTAACAAAGAGCTGAATTTTATACTGTAGCCAGATATATGAAAATTCTCGTTACACTAAAATTTTTATTTCATTAAGTCAAATGGTAACGATTCTAGAAGGATCGAAAGGTGCGGTAACGCACTCATTCAAAAGGACCCTCCCATGACAGTGACTCAGAAAAATTTATATTTTCAGAAATTTTCTCGCTTCGAAAGAAAATATTTTTATTTATGTATAAAGCTAAGACAACAGACTTTATAATAATGAAACTTATTTTTTGGAAGTTTGTGCGTACAAGCATTAATCAGAAAAAAATCACGGTAACGCACTCAGCACTTGGTAACGCACTCATCGATTTTTTTTTGGCTACATATTAAAGCATAGTTTTTTAGAGGTTTAATAGCAATAGAAGGTGATCTATCGATATCAAACAGTAAATCAGTCTTCGATAATACTACTATGATTTCCACTTTTTCAAATGATACAGTAGTGCTTGAAATATGACTGTGGGAATAAGGCCCCGTTTTTACCGTTTTTGGCACAAAAAATGCTTGATTTTGGCTGGCGACTGCCATTTATTCTCATTTTTTTTCAAAACAGATGACATCTATTGATAGGGCATGTACGAAAACCTATAAAAAATTTTTGAATGAATGAGCTCGGTTGTCATTATGTTCAAGAATCTCTCTGTTCAACTTTGGCCAAGCTGGGCCCATTTTAGCTGGACAAGCCGACGTATTTCTTCCTCTCTTACTTCGTGGAATGAGCCTTATTCCCATTTCACTTGTGGGCCACGAACATGTATAAAATTGGCCACACAATAGCTTGTTTGTTGCTAAGAGCGGTTTATTTCCTTTTATCTATCTTTCACAATCGTCTTCGGTCATTCGAAGTGATCCAAGCACGCTAGCCAAAAGAATGTGGTTCACGTCACATAGACAAAATATTGCAATGAAATACGACTACAAAGCGACAAACTCAGGTCAAGTTCATCCGAACGAACCCAAATATTTGTAGGGCACCCATAGGTCCCCAAGGGCTACCCTTTAGGGGTACCCATCGGTCCTCAAGGGCTACCCTATAGGGGTACCATAGGTCATCAAGGGCTACACTATAGAGGTACCCATATGTCCTCAACGGCTACTCTATAGGGGTACCCCTAGGTCCGCAAGGGCGATCTTAGAGGGGTACTCATAGGTCCTCAAGGGCTACTCTATAGGGGTACTCATAGGTCCTCAAGTTCTACCCTATAGGGGTACCCATAGGTATTCAAGGACTACCCTATAGGGATACCGTAGGTTCTCAAGGGCTGTCTTATAGTGGTACCTATAGGTCCTCAACGGCTACCCTGTAGGGGTACCCATCGGTCCTCAAGGGCTGCCCTCTACGGATAGGCATAGGTTCTAAAGTTCTATCACAGTGGGGTACCTCAAGGTGCTCAACTCCCATTATAGAGTGGTACCTCGAGGTGCTCAAGTCCTATTATACTTGGATATCTCGAGGTCCTCAACTGGTATTGTGGTGGGATACTGCAAGATGTTCAAGTCCTATTATCGATTGGTACTTCGAGGTCATCAAGTTCTATTATAGAGGGACAATGATCGATCGTGAGCCTGCGTGTTGTAGAGGTTTCGAGATGAGCCAAAAATCGATTATACAGTGATACCCATAGGTGATAAAGTGGTGTTCTACAGGGTAACCTTCGTTTTTCAACTTCCATGATAACAAGATACCCTGAGATCGTGAAGCGTTGCTGCAGAAACAGGATTATGTCATCAAAAATGACCAGAAAGGATACCCTGGCGTTCTTGAATCCTGTCACACCGATTATTATGGAAGAAATTGAAAAAAAAACAAGAATAAATCTTTTGCATCAATGAGCGACCAATCCGTCGGAATATGGTGTCATTGATTAAACGCGTAAAGGTGCATACATATACCGTCATCCTATACAGCATTGTCGATAACTGCAGGGTTGGTTCGAGATGACTGCTTGTTGTTGGAGCCATAAGAAAAAGGCTTTCCGAAATCTGATTGGTTGATTTTGGGACCAATTATATTGGAAAATGCGATGTTATTGGAAGAGAAACGACCGATACCCACACACATTTCCATCAATCGATAGAGCATCGTTGATAGCCCTAGGGTTCGCCCGGACCGCACTAGTCGTTCTTCGAGCAACAAGTAATGGGATTCTGAAATCTCATGGGTTGATTTTCGGAGCCATCAGATTGCGAGATTCTATTTCATCGACGGAGAAAGAGTCGAGACCTACACATATACTCATCAATCGACAGACAGTCCTCCATCGCCCTAGGATTCACCTGAAGCTGACTAGTGGTTGTTCGAGTAATAAGAAAATAAAGGGCTGCCGATATATCATTGATGAATTTTTGAACCAATGAGATTGTGAGATTGTATTTCATCCGAAAAAAAGGAGCGTGACTTACTCATCTACCCATGAATCGACAGAGCATCCTCGGCAGCCATACGGTTGGCTCGAACATGACTAGTGTTTCTCAGGACAGATAGTTAAGGGAACGCATCTTCAAATCTAGTTGTTGGCAGTTGGATAAATAAGATTTCAAGAAGAGTGTTGGTTGACGCTGTCGTGACAATGACAAGTGATGTTTGTGGTGGTCTCCAAAATTTTCACCGCGCTTTCTTCTATAATGGATTTGTTCACGGCTCCGAATTATATTCCACGGAGATAAAATACGCCTGAGGAGTAGCTCATTCTCTCTCTGCGTGGTTGAGGAGGATTAGAGTTTTCACCTCGTACTACAAATGGTTTTTAAGGAGCAAAGGATACTCAAGAATAGCACGCTTGGGTGGAGAAGTGCGTCGAATAAGATGATTTGGAGATCCATGGTTACAACGAATACTAGGATATGTCCGCATAAGATTACCCTTCTAGTATTGCTTGTGAATGAATCACTCCTGCTTTACCGGCCGCACATTGCGACCTAAGGGTACCCATACCGTACTAGTCGATGGTCGCAGGGTGCGCCTAAACAAGTATGTCTGGAGACCCTAATGGTTTCTGTATATTGTGAGACTGTGCGATATAACGGTAGCGCTCCATACTCCAACTTGAGGGCGCTAGCGTAATCCCAACACAAGGACTCGTCGACCCAAGGGTACCTCTAAAATATAGGACTTGAGGACCTAAAGGTATCTGTAGAA